CAAACTCAACTTTGGTTGTTATCAAGATAAGAGAAATAACTAGGGTATACGTGTTCCCCACAAGCTCATAACGCAGTAATCCGAGTAATCGCAATCCTTTTCTAGTGTGTTACATGCAAAGTGATAAGTTAGGTATCTCTAAATCCTTGGTCCGGCATCTAGAGTGTTTCACCCCGCACCTTGGTCCGGCTACGTGTGTATAATTTACTTACCCTTACCTTTACCTCATATTAGACATCATAATCGATGTTTGGCTTAGTTATTACTTCGCACCAATCGACACTAGCCTATTAGATAGTATCACACTAAATCTATGTTGATAATTCTTTTCTTGTTGATTACCTCCTTGATCCGGCAAGTAGCAACAAGGCGAGTTCTAGCGCGTGCACTCGTTAAAAAGACTTTTAAACGAAAGAATTATCAATGCATGCAAAATACTAGTCAAGAATTGCTTATTTACTATTCATACTTTGTTAATCGATCATGGTTCCCACAACCCTAGTTGTGAATTTAGTTACTCATGTTGGCAAGAACACAATTCATAATTGTAGATGAAGAAATCATGAACTTACGTAGAACGAATAATAAACCCAGAATTTCAACTTGAGTTGCAAAGCCAAAATCTTCAAACGAATGTAGAAAATCAATAATAGCTAGGGTTTCAACTTAATCTCCAAAGTCACAAGGTAAAACTAGAATAATAATGTCTAACCCCCAAAAACGAGGTTTACAAGCCCTATTTATAGAAAACAACTCCTAAATAAAAAGGGAAACGAATTAAGGAAAATTTTGTACAGGTACGCATCTTCAATCCACGAGACTGAGTTACGGACCGTCGATGGATCTACGGTCCGTAAGTCCCTTCCGTTGGTCAGGACTTAGAAAATATTTCAGCTTCCAAAAATAAGCTTCTTTGAAGCAAACGACGGACCAACAGTACGGACCGTAGATCGATCTACGGTCCGTCAATCCCCTCCGTAGCTCCACACTTAGAATCTTCAAAAATCAAGTACTGGAACCCTCGCAGTAACACTCTACGGATCACTAGTACGGTCCGTAGATCAATCTACGGACCGTCAATAAGCATCGTGGTTCCACACTTGGTCAGATTTCCCTGATTTGTCCTCAATACCATGCCTGCTGATCTACGGTCATAACCTACGGACCGTGGATGGACCTACGGTCCCGTAGATCAACTCCGTGGATGCCTTTTTTCTGCAAATTCCTTCAGTTGTCTCCAAAACTTCCGCGCCTGAACACCTTTCCTGAAAAACATGATAAAAATACATAAAAACCAATACAATAAGGCCCTAGACACACACAACTCGTAAAGTGAAAATGTATTAGAAATACCGTAAACTCACGATATATCAGTTAAGAAGAAGGTGCCTTCTCGCGTCATCGTCGTCGCTCGCTCGGCCTCGTCTTCGGCTTTGGATTTGAATTTGGCAAGTGATTGATTGATAATATTTTTTGGACAAAATTTATTTAATCAATCTTGTTAATTCATTTCTTTTCTCTTTATAAATTAATTCAGAATGTTAGTTAAATAACAGAATTAATTTTGCAACGAATTATTTGAAATTCACGCGTAACGGTAAATTCGTTTGAAAGGATTTGTTCCTTCCAAAAAAGTCGTTACTTTTCCCCAAAAGACACAACGTTCTGGAAAAAATGGGTCTGAACAGATTTGTCTGAACAGACGCGTTCCTTGCTGCTAATGGCTATAAATAAGAGGTCGTTTTTGTTTTCCAAACACTGAATTTTTTTTTTCTCTGCATACATTTTCTTACATAAATAAAATTGTCGATCGACCGAGTCTGTGTGTGCTCTTGTTGCTGTTCTTGCGTTTGCTGAAGTTATTGAAGTTTGAGGTACCGCTACTTCTTTAACAGGTTAATCTGTTTTATCTTGGGAGGAATTAATCTGCAACCTCGGGTACAATGAGGGGATTAAATTTCTTAAGGAAACACAGTGATTTCTGTGGACTCGGATTAAAAATCATTCTGTCTATTTCATCTTTTTCTGTTTCTGACTAACCTGGATACAAGAGATAACAAGAAATTTATGATTTTGTTATTTACTTATTATATATTTCATTCGTCTTAATTTATATATATTTGGTTGACTTGACACGGAGTTTAATAAAGAAAAAAAAGCATTTTAAAACTTGTGGTCTAAATAAGTCATAAATATTTGTGTGGTTAGAAATCATTTTAATTAAGGATAAAATATGCATTTTGTAATTAAATTATTACTAAATATAGAAATGTCTCATTATTTTTGAAATTGAATAAAAAGGAAAGTAAGTCATATAAAATCAGGCATATGGAGTAATGATGACACATTAAATGGAGATGACAAACTTGATAAATTTTTGAATGAAGAGAGTGACATATTTCATATGTATCATCTCCATCTCAATTGAGACGTTTGTAATCTTCAAAAACAATTACTAATATAAGTAAAATGGGAAAAAAATAATCTTGTCTTGACCATCTACAATAACAAATACTCCCTCCTTTCACTTTTACTTATCTACTTTGAACTTTGAACGCAATAATTAATATAAGTATTTTACTACAATATTCATATTAATTAATACGTAGTCTTAGCCAGGTCTTGGAACGATTTGCAGAATAAGTAAGTAATGTTAGATACAACATAAAAAAAATTATATTTTCTGACAAATAAAAATGAATAAAAAAATAATAGTATGAGGCAAATATTTTTAGAAATCACGTAAGATCATTTAAAATGGAGGAAGTAATTATATTATTAGTTTTATATAGACTAGAGTAATGTAGATTTTAGCTTAGCAAGTTAACCTTACCTCTTAGAAACAAAATTGGGCTACTTATGTCTTATGTCTTACAAACGTAAGCATGACATTTACTTAATTTTAGATATGATAGTGTAATTAAAACAGAGCGTTTAATACTTTAATTAGTTGTGGAGGTACTATCTAAACCATGTAGTTAATTACTGCATATACATATTAATAACTTCTTTTTGTTTGAAAATTCTTAAATAATCTGTAGCCTCTATAATTTTTGTCATGTCCTTCAGATGAGCACTACTCTATGGTGAACACTTTGTGCGCACTGGATAAATTTTCCACTGTGTAAATCCCGTATGACAGATTTGATTCTAAAGACACTGAGGTAGGATATATCCCGAATTATCCCTGGCCCACCCTCCAAACCATCCATGTGATGAGCACCCTACATATTAATTAGGAGTAATTAATAATTTGCTAAGCTAAAATCTATGTATTGTGTCGTGTGTATATGTTTTAGGAAGTTGAGTGCTCCATTTGGACTTAATCCAGTATAGAACCGACATAATTTAATTAGGGGCTACTTTCAATTATCATTGGAATTTAGTTGATTTAATTAATTTTTGTTCAAATAATTTTGTCATCAACTTGTGATTAGTGGCGGATTCAGAATTTCTATTAAGGGGGTTCGGGAAAAAAAAGAGTAGTGCCTAAGATTCAAACTTGAAACTCCCTCAACCATTAAGTCAACCTCTGATCCTACATTTAGGAGGTTCAAAATAAATATATAGACATAAGAATTCTTAAAATACCTTAAATATACAACATAATTTTTTGCCGAGGGCAACCTCTAGGTCCACCCCTGCTTGTGATATATAGCTCGTGAGGAAAGAAAAAGGATATTTATTTCATTATTAATAATGATAATAAACTAATGAGTGAACTACTTATGACGTTTAAGTCTTAATTAAGCACAGATTCAACATTATTTCTTAATGCTAAATCAAATTAAAATAGTATCCAAAAGCCTTGATGGATAATACTAATCTCATGTAGTAGTAGTTCTACAACTGTATAAGGCTGAGTTTGTATTAGGGGTGTGCATTATTCAAATTAAATTAAAAAAATCAAACTAAATCGAACTAATTTTTAATTTGGATTGATTTTTTGTTTTTTATTTTATTTTATTTCGGATTTAAAAAAATAAAAATCGAAAAACCAATATATATATATTTGTCTTTTTGTAGTTATTGTCTTTCATTATGATTTAGTTTATATTTCATGCTTAGACATCTATAATCCCGCTGGCTGGTTTGGGCTCCTTATCCCACAACGAGCTTCCTTTATCATAGTAAATATGGACCTATTAAAACCATAACACATCCCTCTTTCTGCTTAGATTCCATAGTAACTTACCTAGGGCACGTATATTAATAATAATATAGAGTTAAATAAAATCAATCAAGTGGTATATTATAAAGTTATGCCACAATTTCGTTTCTCATACAATAAATCAAAACACGATAGTAATTGGTGATATTTTATGCAGGAACAATTTTAGTTAGTTTAGTAGCTCCAATTATCCTTACGAGTTTGAAATGTCATTTTTTTGTGTTTGAAAACAAGACGCATTTTTTAGTTGTTTCTGCACAAAAAAAAAAAAAAAAAAAGAGCAATTTTTTCTTTGATGATTTTCAAATTCTATTTTAAAATCTCCTAAAAAGATATTGAACTTACAAAGTCCACCTTTAATTCAGAAACAAAAAGGCTATTCTCACTTTCAAAAAGAAAATAAAAGCATAGTATACACACTGAAGGTTTTATTTTATTTTTAAAAACTATTACTATATTTTTATCTATTACTATATTAGAAGATTAGTAACTATTTAAAAGGTTAACAAATATCAATCAATATTTGTATAAAAATCATCTGTAGTTACATTTTAAGTACTTGACTAATAAGAGATTTGGCATGCATCTTCTACAACAAATATTTGCTCTTTATAATCACCTTATTCATCTTCTTCACATCATCTTCAAGTATTTCTGAATTCGTCAACAACTTCAATAACTTATCTTTACGCTTCTTAAATTGTATTGGATATTTCAATTCATCAACATCAATAATAGCTTCAATCATATCAAATATATCGTTTTATTTTTTCTTTATTGAAAAGTGATTTAAAAATATTCAATTGAACCAAGATTGAAGTATATATTTTTTTCTCACACTGGTAAAAGAGAAGGATAATTAATTATGAGGTTAAAATTAACTCCATCACATTTTAAATTAATTGACAACGACAAGATTTTGCACAATTAAGGATTTTGTCCCTGCCTAGACCTCCCCTCAACTCCAGTCCATGAGAGGAAGAAAAAAGAGCTAACAATGAAATCTTAAAGGCATGATATCCACAAAGGCTAAAAGTTCAAGTGTAGTGTCTGAGAGACACAACCAGTTTACCTCACAACAACATAGCCAAGGACACCAACTACAACTGAACCAAACACATCTCCACTCCACATCAAAACTTTTGTTTTGAAGGCAAAGTCTACCAACATTTGATTTTTGGTCATGTCAAACCTACCAAAGTAAAAAATTAACACTCAAAAAAATTAATCAGGAAACAAAACAACACCAAAATTTTAGAACAATAGAAGCAACTGATATAAAGCATCAGATATGTAACATATGTTTGAAGATATAAAGTATCAAAAATGCATGAAACACATTATTAGAAGTTAGGTATTGAAAGAATCACATGCTCTAGGCAGAAAATGTATCCTATGTGTGTATTAGATTTAGATATATATATATATATATATATATATATATGTACATGTGCAATTTAGCAAATACTTTATGGGAAAAGGCATAAATTCACCCCTGAACTTATTTCGAAAAGTCAGTTACACCCTTAAACTATCATGGTGACCTATTACACACTTATTCTTGTTAAAAGTGTAATTAATACCACCTTCTATGTACAAAACCAGTCACGCATACTAGCGTTGTGCGCACGCGCTTGCCAGATCTATGCAAGCATACACGTGTAATTTTTTACTTTTTTTTCCCTAACCAATTTTGCCTCTATCTTCTCTCTTGTTTTTTTTCACTTTTTTCACAACCATTTTTACCTATATCTTCTCTCTTCTTCCTCACTTGAATGACACCATTTTTTTCTTTATTTTCTTCTCTTCTTCCTCACCTGAATGACTCCATTTTCAATTATTTCTTCTGATTATAACATATACAATACAAACTATTGCGACAGACAAGTTAATCGACGGAGTAGCAATGATTTGGGATGTTCCTGAAGGAGTGGGGACATGGATATCAAATTAAATCAAAGTTATTACCCAATACGATTTCATCCCGCTTGTTATCATCACTGATATGAATTTTAAACCCAAAACTTATCTTTCTTAGCTTCTTAGCCCTATTTAAACACCTTCCTTTCTTTTGGGTTTTTCAAATATGAGTCAAATGAACCTTAACTGGTTAATGTTTTGTTTTGATTTTTTTTTAGTTATTAGTGTTTTGATGGTAATGGGTTGTGAAACTTGAAATAAATATTTTAGTTTGATACCGATCAATTTTATATTGTCGAGCCAATTTTGATTTTGCTATATATAAATCGTCATTGAACCCAAACCCCTGCTCTATCAAATTTGCAATGTTGTGTAAAATTTATAATTTTGATATATGGGGGTGGGAACAATTAACTTTT